TATCTTCTAGCTTTTTGACATTTCCGTCTCTGTTTCCTACCACTATCTGGACGTCTCCTTCCTTGGTTTTACGGATTTTTTGGATTCCAAATCCAATTTCTTCGGGTTTTATCGAAGTTTTCATTTTCTTAACAATATCTGCATAGGTGGAATTGCCGCTTTGAATTGTAATGGAATCTCCTTTTCGTCTAATACTGTTCCTTTCACTCTTTTTTTTAACTTTTGCCTTTCTGCGTTCTACCATTGACCATTGAGAGTTACTTTCAGATTTATTTTCACTTATTTCTGATTCCTTTTCTTTTGTTTCTTTTCTTTCTGGTTCTCCAGTACGCACTTTTTTATTTATTTTACTTTTCTCGGGAGAGATGGACGCAGTCCTTTTTTGTTTGGCTGTTGGTATTACCTCTATCTCGGTTTGGACCTCTTTGTTTTCCGTTTGTATATCACTATATTTCTGTGAGTCACCTATAACATTGCTCAATGCTATCGCTTCTCGATTTTCTCTGAGCTGTTGGTACAAAGCGACTGCTTGCATCAGGTTGTCGCGAATAGTTTTGTGAATATTTTTTGCTTCACTAACTATGCTGTTCATTGTGTTCAATTTGCTTCCAAGTTTCACAAACGCTTGTTCTTCTGCTATTTTCAGACGCCCGATGTAACCCGCATCGTCGTCTGCATTAATTGCAGAGCTAGAAGGTTTTCTCGTTGCCACAGCCGCTGTTTTTGGCGGGGTTCTCTTGACAGTCGCGCTAGGTTTAAATGGGTTAAAAAGCGCTACGTTCACTTCTGCTTCATCATTTATAATTATGTTGTTATTGTTGCTCATGGTTTGGTTAGTGGGTCCAAACTTGAAGTCGTTATCTCAGTTCGATGTGTAGTTACGTTATCTGGTCCCATGGTTGTCTTTGCAAGCAGGGAGGCCATGCAAGGGTTGACGCAAAGTCCTTATGGGAAATTGCGTTCAGAGCCGGACCCGTATAAATCAGGACAAAGTCAACTGAACCTACACCAACAACCTAATGATGACGAAACTGAGAGCGTACTTCAAGACTTCCCAAGTTTTAATAGGACGGAGGCAGGGGTAGCATTAGCCTAGAAGCCATTTCGGTAAGATGTCACTCTACGTACTGAGGTTCCAGAATACAACCACTGTCAGGCCAGGGGATAATTAGTTCGAATGATGTGTTCCAGTATGCCATAATTAAGATCTTACTGGTCTCGATCTTAATGCCAACAATGACGGATAATTTAAGTTACTGCCGCTCCTCCTGGAGTCAGACGCAGACCAGCGAGCCGCCCACTATGGGTCAGACGCTGCTGGATTTTTTGTTGCAGAATCTGGCTGCAAGCCAAACTGGGGTCCGCGGGGTCGTTACGCCCGTTTTCTCTTTCGAGAATACCCTTGAGTCCTCAGCTATTGTCAATCTTACCTTAGAGGCCATTGCTATTAACAAGCTGTCCTCAGAGACTTTTGCTATTGGCTATCTGGTTAAAGGGTTCTCTGCTACTTACTTGCTGGTCTTAGAGACATTTGCTGTTGAGTAGCTGGACTCAAAGGCGTCTGTAATTGACTAGCTGGCGCCAGAGGCCTCTGTTATTGACTATTTGTCCTTAGAGGGCTCTGCCATGGAGTAGGTTGCCTCAGAGGGCTCTACTATTGAATATCTGGGCCCAAAGAACTCTGCTATTGACTACCTATTGACTAGCTGGTCTCAGATGACTTTGCTATTGGATACCCGCCCCCTGAAGTCTCTACTATTTATTATCTGCCATCTACAATTGATTAGCTGACCTCAGAGGTCTCATCCAATGGAAATCAGAATCCTCTGCTATTGAGTCTTTTGCTATTAATAAGCTTACTCAGTTACCTCTTCAATTGACAGGCTGGCCTCAAAGTTCGGCCTCTGTTATTGACTATCTGGTCTTAGAGGGCCCTGCCATGGAGTAGGTTGCCTTAGAGGCCTGTGTTATTGAATGTCTGGACTCAAAAATCTCTGCTATTACTACCGATTGACTAGCTGGTCTCAGATGATTCTGTTATTCCCCCTGAAGTCTCTACTATTTATTAGCTGTCATCTACAATTGATTAGAATCTTCTGCTATTTAGTCCTTTGCTATTAATAATCTTACCCAGGTGCCTCTGCTATTGACAAGCTGGCTTCAAAGTCCGGTCTCTGTTATTGACAATCTGGCCTTAGAGGCCTCTACCATTGAATATCTGCACTCAAAGATCTCTGCTATTGACTACCGATTGACTAGCTGGTCTCAGAGGCCTATACTATTGACATGCTGCTCTCAGATGACTCTGCTATTGAATACCCGCCCCCTGAAGTCTCTACTATTTATTAGCTGCCATCTACAATTGATTAGCTGACCTCAGAGGTCTCATCCAATGAAGATCAGAATTCTCTACTTTTGAATCCTTTGCTTATTCAGGTACCTCTGCTATTGACAAGCTGCTTTCAGAGTCCTCTTTTATTTACCAACTGACCTCAGAAAGTTGGTCATGGAGTAAGTTGTCTCAGAGGCCTCTGCTATTGAATATCTGGGCCCAAAAATCTCTGCTATTGACTATCGATTGACTAGCTGGTCTCAGAGGTCTATACTATTGACATGCTGCTCTCATATGACTCTGCTATTGAATACCCACCCCCTGAAGTCTCTACTATTTATTAGCTGCCATCTACAATTGATTAGCTGACCCCAGAGGTCTCATCCAATGGAGATCAGAATCCTCTACTTTTTAATCCTTTGCTATTAAGAAGCTTACTCAGGTACCTCTGCTATTGACAAGCTGCTTTCAGAGTCTTCTTTGATTTACCAACTGGCCTCAGAGACATCTGCCGTTGACTAGTTGGTAGTATGTGGTTGAGCAGATGGCCTCTGCTGTTGAGTACCCATTCTTACAAGCCACCGTTACGAATTAGCTCACTTCAGAGTTTTCTGTCATTGTCTACCCGGGCTCTAAAGTTTTTTCTATGGGTAAGCTCTAAAAGTCTACGTTATTGACTAGCTCTGCTATTGTCTGCAACTGACAAGCTGGTCTCATAGTCCTCTGCTATTGACAATATCACCTTAGAGGCCTCTGTAATTAACAAGCTGGCCTCAGATATTTCTGCTATTGGCTATCTGGTTATAGATTTCTCTGATACTTACTTGCTGGTTTTAGAGACATCTGCTGTTGAGTAGCTGAACTCAAAGTCGTCTATTATTGACCAGTTGGCGCCAGAGGCCTCTGTTATTGCCTGGCCTCAGAGGCGTTTGCTGTTGAGTAATTGACCTCAGTGGCCTCCACTATTGATTAGTGATTTCAGAGTCCTCCGTTATTGACTAGCTGGTTTTAGAGTGTTATTCACTAGGTGATCTCAGAGGCTCTGCCTGACTACCTGAACTAGGATGCCTCTACCATGAAGTAGCTAGCCTCAGAGACCTCTGTTTTTTTTAGCTCACCTCAGAGGCCTCCGTTATGGAGTAGCTGGTCTCAGAGGCTTCTGCTATTGACTAGCTGGTTTCAGAATCCCATATTACTTATTAGCTGGATTCAAAGATGTTTGCTGCTGAGTAGCTGGTCTCAGAGGCGTCTTCTGTAAAGTAGCTGCTCTCGGAGGCCAACTTTTATATATAAGTATAAGTTACTTAATTCCTTTTGCATTTCGACCCACGATATGTTAAAACGGCCTTTACTACCATTACTGTTGCATATCTAAGTGACCATAAAGTGATATTGATTTACTGCCATAATTTAATTAAATCCTTTCGAAATGATTGAATTTTAGAAAAATTGATGCATGGTTAGCTAAGCATTGAAATAATGAAAAGGGTCTCAATGCCACTGGACATGATATCACACACAGGCATACTTACACACTTCCATACATATATACACTTTTAGCCCACATGCCATAAATCTATCACTCAGCCTTGAAAAGGGTTTCAAAAAACAAAAATGAAGAAGACACTCCTCAAAAGGGTGCTTATAATCCTGTGAAAATTTGTTCTTTCTGCCTGGAATTCCCATCATTGCTGCTGTTGTTGTTCGATGCCAACAAATAATCATTAAACAATTTATTATGTCAATTTGTTGGCCATGCAATTCAATTTGTTATTTAAATGTAATTAAATGGGTGCTATGTCCAGTCAGACAGTCCACAATCGATAGAAGTAAAGAGAGGGGGAGAGACAGGGGGTGAGAAACATATCCTGAAGGACCTGCCCATTGAAAGACATATAGACATGTGGGTTGGTTGGCAGCTGGATATGATTACTAGTTTTGTTGTATACCTACGTTCTTGTAGTTGTTGTATTGCGTGATATGTTATTTAGAAAATCTAATTTAATTAGAACCGCTGATAATTCTAGCTGCCGATGGATGAGGTGTGTGAATATGTGTAGAATGAATTCCTGTAACCCCGAATCATATTAAATTATTAAACAATCAATCAACGAGCGATTTGAATGACGTTTTGGCATTTTAATAATTTTATTTAAATTTAAAATATTTTTTATTTTACTTTTATGATTGAGGTTGATAAGGACTTGCAATTAATGTCCATTTTTAATATTTTTTTTTACAAAATTCTTCTATTTCGAATACATGGTCCGTAAAAGGGCGAAGAATTTGTAGGAGAGCTGCATCAACTGTAAAGGAGAGATAAGAGAGAGAGAAAATATGGAATTAACTTATAAGGATTTAAAATTGTAAGGTTTTTTTTAAAAGGATCAACAAAGCCATAAATCTGGGATAATATTTTCAATGACTCACAGACACCTAAAGGTGAGCGTTTAAATAAATATTCAAGTATCCACAGACCAACAAATGTGGATTTTTTAATTAATATTTTTGAAGGACCCCACAGATCCCTAAACTTGGTTATTTTAGTAATTATCTTTGAAGGATATTTACATTTTTTTAATTACCCATAGAACCCGAAAAGTGGGTAATTTTAAAAATATTTGTCAAGGACATGTTAATAATTTTATTTAAAGTCAAAATATTTTTTTTTATTTTTATGATTTAAGTTGTTAAGAATTTGCAATTGATGTCCATTTTTAATATTTTTTTACAAAACTCTCTATTTCGAATACATGGTCCGTAGCAGGGCAAAGAATTTGTAGGAGAGCTGCATCAACTGTAACGGAGAGATAAGAGAGAGAGAGAGAGAACATGGAATGAAGTTAGTATTAAACAAGTAAGCAAAGGCTACAGTCGAGCGGGGCCGACCGTTGTATACCCTACAACAGTATAATAAACGATACAGTTTATATATATTTCCAATTTAATTAACGAAATAGTCAGAAGTGCGTCTTTCCTGTGTTTGTGAATTCTCCAAAAAGTCACTGGAATGGACATTTTCGTATTTTGTCTACAAAAGTTGGCAAACTCCTTCACACATTGAATATTTTTGGATGGCCATCCAAAACTGCTTGGCTTTTGCAATGTCCAGTAACCCCCATTGAAATGTGCGTGAGGATCGGGCAATAATTACGACCTCCTGACAATTTTGCAGTTTTTTGGTCCATTTCAACCCCTAAATATATGGCGATCATCTCCAAAAAGAGTAGGCTTCTATTCTGACCCTCATCTTATCTCCATGCAAAATTTCGTAAGGATCGGGCCATAAATGCGATCTGTATATGATGTCCTGATACCCTAACTACTTAGTTTTGTTAGCTGTAGAAAAATTAACAAATGTTTAATTCAAAATGAAAATATGCCAAAAATATGACAAAATTGAAAAAAATATGAGAAAATGTTACAAAATCAATATTTTCATCTTTAGAGAGATATTTTTATGCAATTTTTTTAGACGTTTGTTCTTTCTGAACTGTTGAAATCAGTTCAGCCGTTCTCGACATATAAGATATCTTTCAAGCATATCTTCTTTGATAGACACATATATCGCACATATTTTGCTATATATCCGATTTGATGGATGTTAACATCAATGTAAAGATAAGAAGTAACCTAAAAATGTTGGTTTTTTTGGTTTGATTGGGCCAAAAATTATGTAACACCAAGAAATATTGGTTTCCCACATAGGAAAGTATATATGGATCTTCCTAGCTCGCCGAGCTGAGTCGATCTAGCTATGTATGTCCGTCCGTCCGTCTGTCCGTCTGTCCATGTTAACTTGTAATCACTATACAGGTCGCAATTATGGACCGATCTTCACGAAATTTAGAATGGAGGTGGGGCTAGGGTCAGAATAGAACCCTATTTCTTTTGGAGATGATTGCATACTATTTAGGGGTTGAAATGGACCAAAAACTGAAAAAAATTCCTGATTTTGAAGTTGCTCTACAGGTCGCAATTATAGACCAATCGACACGGAAGTAAGCATAGGGCTAGAGATTAGGGCTGGGCAGAAGCCTTTCAATTTTGGTGGTCATCGGGTAATATTTAGTGGGTGAAATAGGTTACAATATATGTGTTAAATAAAAGTCAAATTTTGCATTAAACAGCGAATATTCTTAATCCCGGCGAAATCACAAACAGACGAACAGGTCAATTCTGACCGTTACGTAGATGCCGATAGTAAATATGTCGGTTATATATAGAGAAAAACATACAATGTATATATAGAAGGAAGGGGATGTTAGCTAGAATGCTTATATCTCCAGAATGGCTAGACCGAATTCGGCAAATTTCGTCAATTCAGATTGCCCTCTTACCATAAAAGTATAAAATCTGAAAAAAACACATAAAAAGATGTCTATAATGATGTTAATATAGATTTTATAGTATTTTGTGACATTTTTTATTTTTTCATATTTTTTATCGCATGCGATTTTTTCAATTTGACTTATAATATTGAATTGTACATTTTGTAATATTTTTTCACTTTACAACACTGGTTGGGGATATTATATGCAGATTGCAATTATCCTCACGAAAAAGGGTAGGGTTAGGCTCAGAATGGCGAGGCCTATTGTTTTCAAAGATGTCCGCAATATATTTAGAGGTTAAAATGGACCAACAACTAAAAATGTTCCTGATTTTGCAGTCGTTATAAAGTTAAGAAATTGAATCCAAAGGAAATCTCGCATGAAGTTAGAGTTTAGGACAGCTGGTAGAATGGACCACTATTTTTGTGTGTAAGAATACCAACATTACTTACAGGCGATATCCGAAATTCACAAAAGGCGAACTTCTGGCTTTTTTATGCTGATTTCGTTGACGAATATAGCCAAATATAGTAGACGAGAAAGAATATAGATGAGTCTAAATTTGGAGATACAGAGGGGCCTCTTGGTTTTGGATATAACCGCAAAATATTAGGGGTTCAAATGAACCAAAAACAGAAAAAAATTCCTGATCACACAATTGTAGCCATTCGACACGCCTGGGAAGAGCGTTATGGACAGGGAAGAATTCCAGCATTTTGGATGACCATTGGATTATATTTAGCTGGAAAATGGACCACAATAACTAACAGCACGAGGGAGTGCATAAATATTGGGCAAATGTCCCTGGTCAAAATGGTAAGGGTAATACCTGGGCAGTGCACCGTGAAATAATTTCAAAACCGAAATCTTCCAAAATGGATTTGGAGATGTTGTAGTGTTGTGGGGTATCACATGGTCGGCCCCGCACGACAATAGCCTTTGCTTACTTGTTATAAATATTTTTCAGGGGCCCATAAAACACAAAAATTGGATGTTTTAATGAATATTTTTCAGAAACCCACCGACAACGAAAATTTTTTTATAAATATTTTTCAAGGACCTACAGGTCTCAAACCAGGATATTTTTAAAATTATTTTTCAAAGTTCTGCAGCCAACCAAATTAACTTTTTAATAACTATTTTCCAAAGACCTGCGGACCTCCAAACTAGGATATTTTAATAAATATTTTCAAGGACATGTTGACCTCTAAACTAAAATATTTTAATAAGTATTTTCAGAACCCACAGACAACTTTATTTGGACATTTAAATACATATTTTTAAAGGACTCACAGACCACCAAATGAGGATGTTTTTATAAACATTTTTCAAGGATCTACAGATATCAAGTGGTCATTCGTTTTAGAAAAAAGATTTCAGGGATCTACCAACCACCAAACTTGGATTTTTTTAATTAATATTTTTCAAAGACCCATGGACCGCTAAAAGTGGATATTATAACAAATATTTTAAAGGACCTACAGATCTCAAAACGGGGATATTCTAAAATATTGGACGCACAAGCAACGAAATTTGGATATTATTATGAATGTCTTTCAAAGACCATCAGAATGTGTATATTTAAAAAAAAAATATTTATTAAAGTTAACAGCCGACTTAACTTGTGTTTTTTAATAAATATTTTCAAGGACACACAAACCCCAAATGTAGGATATTTCAAAAAATATTTTTCAGGACCCCTGACATCTGGATTTGTAGATTTAAATAAGTATTTTTTAAGGACTCACAGACCACGAAATGGGGATATTTTTATACATAGTTTTTAAGGATCTACAGATATCAAAAAGCATTTTTTTAGAAAAGAAATTCAGGGATCTGCAGCCCTCCAAACTTGAATATTTCAATGTGTTTAAGGATTCACAGACCACGTAACGTGGATATTTACAAAATATTTTTCAAAGACCCATGGACTGCTAAATATGGATATTTTAACAAATATTTTTAAAGGACCTACAGATCAAAGTTCCGTAGACTCTTAAACTTGGATATGTTAATAAATGTTTTTAAGGATTCACAGACAAATGTGGCCATTTCATTTAATATTTTTCAAAGACCTATGCACCGCTGAAAGTGGATATTATAACAATTATTTTTAAAGGTCCCACAGACTATGAAACGAGGATATTCTAATAAATAATTTTGAAGTACGACCCGAACAACCAAATTTGAATATTTTAATAAATATTCTTCAAGGACTTGCAGACCAACAAAAGTGGATTTTAATGAATATTTATCAAGGACCTACAGACCTCAAAAGTGTATATTTCTTAAAAAAATATTTTTCAAGGTTCTACAGCCAACCAAACTCGGATGTTTAATAAATATTTTCAAGGAAGTTGGAGCAAATTCGGATAATCCCTTCTCCTTATGTGGAGTAAAATATTTTTTGAAAATGTCGACCTTTTATGGAGGTGGTAGCAGAAGTAGTGGAAAGATAATAATATTACGATATACCAAGTTTGGACCGAATCGGACACTCCCTTCGAGAGTTATCGTGCGCAATAGTCAGCCGGATAGACAGCCTACTTTAAAACCCTTATTTCGTTGAGGCACCTTTTAGCCATATCAAACCCTCTCTAGCCATGTGGTGAGGGTATAAAAAATCAAGGATCTACGGAGTACCCAACTTAGATATTTTAATAAATATTTTTCAAGGACCATAGACCATTTTTTAATAAAAATTTTCAAGGATCTAGAGACTACGAAACGAGGATATATGAAAAACAAGTAAAAAAGCTGCAAGTTCGGCCGGGCCGAACTTTTAATACCCTCCACCATTTTGACAATTTCCAAAAAAAAAAAAAAAATAAAATTTGACAATTTCCAAAAAAAAAAAAAAAAAAAAAAAATAAATAAATAAATAAAATAAAATAAAATCCGTTAAAATTTTTGTTAAAATCTTAAAAATACCGAATGCCTATACGACGACGTGGACCTGCATAGGCAACTTTTGTTATAAGTTATTAGAATATTTAAATGCGAATCTTGAAGAAAAATCTGTTTATAAAGTAGCTAAAATCATCAAAACACCGAATATAGGGGGTACCGTTATATGGGGGCTATACGAAGACGTGGACCTGCACAGACAATTTTCTGGCATGGGCTGAAATATCCATTACGAACTTCACATGCGAAATTTGAAACAATCCCGGTAAATAATGTCGCTAAAATCATCAAAACACCGAATATCGGGGGGTACGGTATATGGGGACTATACGAAGACGTGGACCTACATGGCCCTTTTTCTGTTTTATGCTGCAGTATCTATTAAGAACTTCAAATACCAAATTTGGAACGATTCCGTTAAATAATGTCGCTAAAATCATTAAAATACCGAATATCGGGGGGTACCGTTATATGGGGGGCTATACGAAGACGTGGACCTACACAGATTATTTTCTGTCTTAGGCTGTAGTATCCATTACGAACTTCAAATGCCAAATTTGAAACAATTCCGGTGAATAATGTCGCTAAAATCATCAAAATACCGAATATCGGGATTTAGTGTTATATGGGGGCTATATGATAACTTGGACCTACATGGCCCATTTACGAACTTAACCTGCCTACTGGCAAAATATACACGTGTGCAAAATTTTAGCTTTCTATCTCAATTTGTCAAGATAGCGTGATTACAACAGACAGACGGACAGACAGACGGACAGACAGACAGACACACAGACAGACGGACGGACATGGCTAAACCGTCTTAGAATTTTACGCTGATCAAGAATATATATACTTTGTTGGGTCTGACATGAGTATTTCGAGGAGTTACAAACGGAATGACAAAATTAATATACCCTCCATAGTTGGTGGAGGGTATATCAAGGACCAATAGATCACGAAGTGTGGATATTTTAATGAATATTTTTCAATGCATCTACAGACATAAACAAGTAAGCAAAGGCTATAGTCGTGCGGGGCTGACCAAGTGATACCCCACAACACTACAATATGTTGGAAGCCCCCCTATGTCCAAATCCAGATATAGTTTTAGAAATATTGTCATAGAGCCTTGCCTAAATGTTACGCCAATATTTATGCACTCTGAAGTGTGGTTAGGTATTCAAAACAATTACACACGAAAGTTGTGGTCCATTTTACAGCTAAATAAAATCCAATGGTAATTAAAAATGCTAGACTTTTTCCCTGCCTTAATTCTCAATTCAATTCCGTGTCGATTGGTTTTGAATTGTGACCTGTAGAGCGACTGCATAGTCAGGAAAATTTTAATGTTTTCGATTTAGAGTCGGGCTACAGTTGCGACCTGTAGCGTGATTACAAATTAGCATGGTCAGACACACAGACGGACGGGCAGACATACATAGCTAGATCGACTCAGCTCGGGGAGATAGGAAGATTCATATATAGTTTCCTATATCGGAAACCATTATTTCCAGGTGTTACATAATTTTTGGCCCAATCAAATCATAGTTATTTTTCCAAAAATACGTCGCAAGGACCCATGGACCATTAAAAGTAGATATTTTAGTAAATATTTTCCAAAGACCAACATGTCCACAAAGCGTAAATACTTTAAAAATTATTTATTTTTGAAAAAAAATCTCTAAATTTCCTCCACACTCACCTCCGTCATGGTACTCCTCGACACATTCAAGAATGTGGTTGCCCTCAGTATGACTGGCTTCTGGGAACGAGCAATTATTCCAATTAACATTTTGCGATAACGTAAATCACTATTCAGCCACTCCTGTGAATAGACAGCATGGCCTATTTCCTCACTCTATTCCGAGAGAGAGATAGTTTATGAGCAATTGAATATGGAAATGTAAACTTCACACACACACACATACACACACATGCTCACTCACCTTTATTATCAATTGTTGTCCATAATTGCATATCATTAGAATTTGCACCAACGAACAAAAGAGAAACATAAAGAGCATCACCAGCGTGTCCGCCTCAACGCCAATGGTCATTTGAAAGCCCAGAAAGCACATCACAAAAGACGATGAAATGAAATTGACCAGAAGGCTAACGCCGAAGACTTCGTTCATTAGTGCCGATAGACTGCAAAAGGGGTTTTTTGGGAAGAAAATGTATGCAAAAATTAGGAAAGAACTAGGAATGGGTATTTGGGGAAATGCAGATTATTTGTGAAAGAATTTGTAGGTAAAGGAGGAGTAAGACGTTCCTGTGTTTTTGGGGAGTGGTAAAAATTTTTAAGCTGAAGGCCATCGAATCATAGAAGAAATGTAAAAAAGATCCTTAAATGTATTTCAGTTTTTGAAGACCTGTGAAGAGATTACCCCCCCTATTCGGTATTTTCAACTTTAGATTGTTTATCCTACACAACATTAAGGTCTTTCACTCCAAATTTCAGAACTCCAGCTCCATAGGTTTACCCAAATCCAATTTACAACAAATTTAGTACCGACTAGTACATAAAAATACGAATTTCCAAAAATTTTTACATAACCCAATCCTTGAAAACTGTAATCTTAGTTCCAAATTTCGGAGCTTCAGTCCGGCCGGTTCACACACATCCAAATTGTACCAAATTTAGTACATACCCAAATTCGACACTACAAATTTCCAAGTTTGGTACATATTAGTACGAATTTCCAAAGCTTCCTACACACCCCAATCCTACACTGCAAAGTAATCTCAATTCCAAAGTTCAGCATTCCATTCTTATCGTTTCGTCTAAATAAAAGTGTACCAAATCTAGTACCATATAATACAGATAAGCACGAATTTCAAAAACTCCCTACATAACCCAATCCTATACTCCAACAATAATCTTAATTCTAAATTTCAGGACACTAGCTCTATCGGTTCACCAAAATCGATTTGTACCAAATTTAGTTCTTTTTAGTACATATAAGTTCGAATTTCCAAAACTACCCTCATCATACAGTCGAATAGAAATAATATTTCCAAATTTCAGGAATCCAACTCTGCCGTTTACCCAATATTTAAATTGTACCAAATTTTGTACCATATAGTACAAATTAGTACGAATTTCCAAAACTACCTATATTCCTCAGTCTTAGCATACAATAGTAATTTTATTTCCAAATTTCTGAAGCACTATCGGTTCACCCAAAACGAAATTGTACCAAATTTAGTACAATTTAGTACTTTTCGTGCACATAAGTAAACATTTTGATAACTCCCTCCATATCTCAATGCTACACCCCGCCACTAATTTTAATTTAAAATTTCAAGATTCCAGCTCCATCTGCTCCTCCAAATTCAAATTGTACTAATTTTAGTACCGTTTAGTACTTTTCGTATACGTGAACACTCACACTTCCAAACTACCTCCTTACATCGACTCTACTCCTCTACCTTGATTCCCAGTCCAAATTTCAAGTTTTTAGCCCAACCGTTCACATGATACCAAATATAGTACATTTTAGTACTTTTCGTACACCTATAGTGCAAATTTCAAAAGCTTTTTGGTACATCTACAAATATTTCTACAACTACCTCCATATCCCAATGCTACGCTAAGCCACTATTTTTTTTACCAAATTTTAGGCTGGAATCCTAAATCCATCCGTTCCTCCAAAATCAAATTTTACTAAATTTAGTACCGTTTAGTACATTTCATACACATGAGATCACACACTTCCAAAATTACCTCTTTACATCGACTCAAATCCTCAACCCAGATTTCCATTCCAAATTTCAAGCTTTTAGTTCTAACAACTTTCATGAATCGAAATTATACAAAATATAGTAGATTTTTGTACTTTTATCGTGCGTGTTTCCAAAAAATTCTTCGGTACATCACTCCATCAGTGATAGTAATTTCAAATTTAAGAGTTCTAGCTCTACTGCTGCCTCAAATACAAAGGGTACCATTTTTAGTACTTTTTTATATTTTTCGTACCGTTCTAGTAGGGATTACTAAAAACCTAGCCTTACCTGACCCCTTAGGACTAAGAGTGACCTTTACTTAAAATCATAAAAAATTGGATTTCATACTTACTGTATTACAGCCTGATGATATTTGATATGTTCCCGCAGAAACTTCAAATCGTCCACATGTCGTCCAGTTGGCCTGTACTCCCTCAAACGTTTTGCCAGGAATTCAAAATGCATAATTATTTGCGTGGCTGCCACACACAAAAACAAATCATTGGCCAGTTGGCCAGACATACATGTATGTCCTGCGAAATTTTGCGATACATATAAAATGTAATACGACCAATGGCCCTGCCATTGCCAGGGGACCCAAAAATAATAGGGTAGTGTGCGCGGCACCACGCGCCATTGCAGCCACCATTCATAGATTAAATAACTCACAGCAATGTAGAGATTATAGAACCAAATTAAAATCTCATGGACGATCACAAAGCCCAGGCTTATCAAATTGAAACGCCAAACATATTCCCGTACCTGATAGGCCTTTTGCGCCCGCACATCTTTGGGATAGATATCTTGGATTTCCTTCATCAAAATTGTAAGGACAGGCTTCTTGCGTAGCACACTAATGATTTTAATATCGCCAACAAAAACAAACCCAATGTACGATAGATTCATGGTAGCCTCCACAAAATTATTGCCATTCTTCATGGCCAACAGGACGTACATGATTTCCGAGAAGAGAACAAAATTCATATTCACCATATTCAAAATGAAAATAAATTTCATTAGCTTTTCATAGCGGGCGGAACGCTTGCCATTCTCCTCGTCGTAGGGTATTAAACCAATGGATTTGGCCAAAATATCTGCTTGCAGAAGAAATTTATTTAAGCCAATGCCATTGCTTGCCGCCTTGGGCGCCATTGTTTTGATATTTTGATTTCGTTTTGACGATTTCCGTTGTTGGTGCTGACGCATTTCCAATTGAATTTAAACTGAACAGGAATACCTTGGAGCGATTTTGTGATTATGGTTGTCATTCAAAAATCATGGCGTGCGTGTATCCTTACAAAGCATAACCTCACTCACTTGTACGCTGGTCCACCCATTCGAATGCCAATTAAAATCAGAATTGAAATCATGGAGGTGGTCTTTGGCTGGAATAACTGTTCATTTTTAAATGAATTTTTAATTAAATAATATTTTTTTTGGGGGATGGTGAGGGGTAGGTGGTAGATTTTTTGTTTAATTCGGTAATGATTTAATTCACTGGGCTTCCATTGTAAATATTTATCTTTGAGGAGGAGGTAGGGTTGAGGAGGAATTATTTATTACATTGTGCTTGAAATTAAATTATTGTCCGCTTGAATTGACTACAATTAGTTTAAGTTATTCAGAAGCTCACGATAACTCTTACCACAAGATAGAGGATATATACAATATACCATTCCGTTTGGAAGAACTGAAAATATTCATCTCAGACCCATTATATATTTCTGATCAGCATTACTTACACCAACAAGTTTCAGATTGGATTATTACTATTGGTTCTTTTTTACCCTGAATTTCCCAGAACCTAAATAATATACAAATAGACAAAGACAAGTTTTGTCCACTTTTTTCCGTTTGGGGACAAGGCAGTAAATTTTTCCCAAATACACACAATCGATGTTAATTTTTTAAGTGGAAAATTATGTTTGGAATGGAAATGCCGACAGCTGATGCCTGTGTAGACATTTACATAGATTTTTATTCTTTTGATGCCTTCTTCTTTTATTGTCGGCAATATTCCAGAAAATCGTAATCAATTTATTGACAGATATTTGAAAATGTCTATAAACTAAAGTATAACAATTTTTTCTTGGAAACGACAAAGATATTAAACTGTTTAATATAAAATCAATAGCAAAAATAAGATAGTGAATCTCTTCTATAGACCATAGAAGACCTCAAGAGCTCTTCTATAGACCATAGAAGACCTCAAGAGCTCTTCTATAGACCATAGAAGACCTCAAAAGCTCTTCTATAGACCATAGAAGACCTCTAGAGCTCTTCTATAGACCATAGAAGACATCAAGAGCTCTTCTACGGACCATAGAAGACCTCACGAGCTCTTCTACAGACCATAGAAGACCTCAAGAGCTATTCTATAGACCTTAGAATACCTCAAGCTCTTCTATATAGACCATAGAAGACCTCAAGCTCTTCTATATAGACCATAGAAGACCTCAAGCTCTTCTATATAGATCATAGAAGACCTCAAACTCTTCTATATAGACCATAGAAGACCTCAAGCTCTTCTATATAGACCATAGAAGACCTCAAGCTCTTCTATATAGACCATAGAAGACCTCAAGCTCTTCTATATAGACCATAGAAGACCTCAAGCTCTTCTATATAGACCAGAGAAGACCTCAAGCTCCTCTATATAGACCATAGAAGATCTCAAGCTCTTCTATATAGACCATAGAAGACCTCAAGAGCTCTTCTATAGACCATAGAAGACCTCAAGAGCTCTTCTATAGACGATAGAAGACCTCAAGAGCTCTTCTATAGACGATAGAAGACCTCAAGAGCTCTTCTATAGATGATAGAAGACCTCAAGAGCTCTTTTATAGACGATATAAGACCTCAAGAGCTCTTCTATAGACGATAGAAGACCTCAAGAGCTCTTCTATAGACGATAGAAGACCTCAAGAGCTCTTCTATAGACGATAGAAGACCTCAAGAGCTCTTCTATAGACGATAGAAGACCTCAAGAGCTCTTCTATAGACGATAGAAGACCTCAAGAGCTCTTCTATAGACGATAGAAGACCTCAAGAGCTCTTCTATAGACGATAGAAGACCTCAAGAGGTCTTCTATATAGACCATAGAAGACCTCAAGACCTCTTCTATAGACCATAGAAGACCTCTTCTATTGGCCATAGAAGACCTCAAGAGCTCTTCTATATAGACCATAGAAGACCTCAAGAGCTCTTCTATAGACCATAGAAGACCTCAAGAGCTCTTCTATAGACCATAGAAGACCTCAAGAGCCCTAGGTCTTCCATAATCAATGTAAGTTCTCTATATATTCCATAGGCAACAGAATACCTCTGTTGGCTCTCTTCTTTTCCAATAACAATCAAAAAAAGTCTATTTCCAAAAACCCTCTCAAATTTCATTTAGTGTTGTCTTAAATTTGGATTGAAAATAACTACAGCAACAAAAACACCTACAAACATCCTCAACACTTATCTTCATAACGGATAGAATGAAGGAAAAAACACTACCATATCCTTTCAACAGATTTGTTAATGCCATTTAGGCTGATGTAATTGAATGAAATCCATTGCCTACATTTAGGCAGCCACAAAAATACGATTTCACTGAAAGCCCTGGCCATTTACAACGTGTGGAAGGATGGAACACTAACAAGTGCCGTAAAATATTTATGGTAGATATTGTCATTATATTTCATATAAATGCGTGCGTAAGGAGAAGGGTGAGAGGAAAGCGACGACATTTATCCCTCCTTAAGTCGTTCAAAATAATATTGCTACGGCAGGGAATGCTCGAACTAACCTCCCATACGACACACAATCAGACAAAGTAAATCTCATAAAATCACTTGAGCCATAATTCTTAAAGCAATCATCCTCGTCTGCGTTCCCGCTTGGCAGTTCTGCGGGAAAACAGTTAAGCTTCAATATCTGTTACAGCTAGACAAACAGTATAGCTCATAAAAATTATTGCGTATGAAGTGCGAGAATAAACATGGCGTACTCGAACACGGAAGCCTAAAAGCAGGCAATACTTTGTGATAACAAGAAACGTAGGAGTGGCGAGGAAAGGATGAAGGATAAAGGATGTATGGTGGCAAAAAAGGATTAAATCAGATTTTCCTTTTGCCTTGTTAAGTGTGTGCGTAACTGAAACCAAGACACATGCACACAATTCGTTTACACACATTCCCTCTCTCAAGTATTGGCTTGTGATGGGCTCATATGCAAGAGAGAATATATGAAGAACTTTTTGCTTAGCCCTAACATTTTAGGCGTCGGGGAAAAAACCATCCATTCATTTACCAGAAAAATAGAACAAATAAATTGCTTAAAATTACATTGTTTACAAAATAGTCCGAAAAAAAAACACACGCACGCACAATAACAGAAGTGGTAACAAAGGAAATCCCTTTTTAAGGATACTGTTGCTTTGCCTTCCTAACAAACAAGCAAAGGGACGAACAAGCATAGCATAGCCTGGGCAAGGATTAAATGCTCAGCAAAATGTAGTCTTAGTGTGTGTGTGCGTGTGTGAGTAAGGAACTCTTGAAAATTGGGACAACAGTAGCAACAAAAAACTGGGATGTACTCCCCAAAAACACACACAGCCAAATAAAGATGATGATGAAGGTGGAATGCTACAAGGAAGGGAAACCTATCGTTTCCGTTGATAGCTGCAAATAAATCTTAACTAAGCCTAAATGATTTTTCTCTTTGGTCGAGCAGGGATAACACATTTTCTAGCTTCGCATGCAAATTTTAAAGGTTTGCCAAAAATATTTTTTCATTAACATTTTTTTTTGACTGAGAAAATGGAAAAGTTCCTCTTGTATTGGCACGTATTAATCTGCACGAGAATAGATTCGAATAAAAACTATTTGATTTTATAGTTTTCAATTAAAATTCCTCATAAAACACAGCATGGAGCATCGAAATTGGTTACTGTTTCGTCTATGGTCTATAGAAGGCCTTGAGGCCTACTATATTATATAGAAGGCATTGGATCTTCTAGGGGCTATAGCAGAGCTTGAGGTCTTCTAGGGGCTATAGAAGAGCTTGAGATCTTCTAGGGGCTATAGAAGGGCTTGAGGTTTTCTAAATGGTCTATAGAAGAGCTTGAGGTCTTCTATATGGTCTATAGAAGAGCTTGAGGTCTTATATATGGTCTATAGAAGAGCTTGAGGTCTTCTATATGGTCTATAGAAAGCTTGAGGTCTTCTATATGGTCTATAGAAGAGTTTGAGGTCTTCTATATGGTCTGTAGAAGAGCTTGAGGTCTTCTATGGTCTATAGAAGAGCTTGAGGTCTTCTATGGTCTATAGAAGAGCTTGAGGTCTTCTATGGTCCTTCGAAGAGCTAGAGGTCTGCTATCGTCCTTCGAAGAGCTGGAGCTCTTCTATCGTCCACTGAAAAGCTGGAGCTCTTCTATCGTCCCTAAAAGAGCTGGAGCTCTTCTATCGTCCCTAGAAGAGCTGGAGCTCTTCTATCAGCCATAGAAGAGCTGGAGCTCTTCTATCAGCCATAGAAAAGCTGGAGCTCTTCCATCTGCCATAGAAGAGCTGGAGCTCTTCTATCTGCCATAGCAGAGCTGGAGCTCTTCTATCTGCCTTAGCAGAGCTGGAGCTCTTCTATCTGCCATAGCAGAGCTGGAGCTCTTCTATCTGCCATAGCAGAGCTGGAGCTCTTCTATCTGCCATAGCAGAGCTGGAGCTCTTCTATCTGCCATAGCAGAGCTGGAGCTCTTCTATCTGCCATAGCAGAGCTGGAGCTCTTCTATCTGCCATAGCAGAGCTGGAGCTCTTCTATCTGCCATTGCAGAGCTGGAGCGCTTCTATCTGCCATAGAAGAGCTGGAGCTCTCTATCTGCCATAGAAGAGCTGGAGCTCTTCTATATGGTCTATAGAAGAGCTGGAGCTCTTCTATATGGTCTATAGAAGAGCTGGAGCTCTTCTATATGGTCTATAGAAGAGCTGGAGCTTTTCTCTCTGCCATAGAAGAGCTGGAGGTCTTCTCTCTGCCATAGAAGAGCTGGAGTTCTTCTCTCTGCCATAGAAGAGCTGGAGCTCTTCTCTCTGCCATAGAAGAGCTGGAGCTCTTCTCTCTGCCATAGAAGAGCTGGAGCTCTTCTCTCTGCCATAGAAGAGCTGGAGCTCTTCTCTCTGCCATAGAACAGCTGGAGCTCTTCTATCGTCCATAGAAGAGCTGGAGCTCGTCTATCTGCCATAGAAGAGCTGGAGTTCGTCTATCTGCCATAGAAGAGCTGGAGCTCGTCTATCTGCCATAGAAGAGCTGGAGCTC